CGATGCTTACCTTGCTTACCAGAACATCTGTGTTAAACAATTTCACATTTTTTTTTACCACATCAAAGATTCTGCTTTAGGTATGACTGGCATCTGTCTCTCTCCCAACCCCATAGCACCTTCCTGTAGAATCAAAGCCTCTTTTCAAATTTACAGTCCCTAACAGGAGCTGATGATCTAGTAAGCAAGGTAAACATGGGCTGACTGTGCTTACTCACTAATCTGTAGTGAACAATTTCACATTCTTACCTTGCTTATTGGCTAATCTCCCCATGGGCTGGGGGCTTGACCAGCTGAGGCTCCTCAAGTGTTCTCTCTCTTAATGGGTCTCTCCTTCTGGTGGCCTCCGGGAGCTGGACGTCTTACCTGGGGGCTGAAGGCCTGCAGGGTGAGTACTCCAAGAGAAACCTGCAGAAGCTGCATGCCCTTTTCTACCTGGTCTCAGAAGTCATATGGTATCACTTCTGCCTTATTCTGTTCATTAAGGCATGGAGGCCCACCTGGGTTCAAGGAAAGGGGACACAAGCTCCACCTCTTGATGGGAGGTATGTCAGGGAACAGCAAACCTGATTTCAAATCACCACACCAGGACTGAGATGGCTGAAGACTCTGGTGCTTCTCCTGCGTAAGGTTTTAGAGACAATAAACAAAATACCTTGCAGTAGAAGCCTAGTTTAATGGGGAGGGAAGATCTACTCATAAGAAGAAAATATATAAAATTACATGGAAAATGAGATTGAATTCTGTTTAGCTGTTTAAATGTGTAAGGGAAAATTTATCCCTGTAACAAATATGCCATGCGTGTCTGTGTGCACACGCACAACAATGGTGTGCATTGAGATGCCAGGATTGGCGAAAAGGAGAGAATTAAAGCAGGGGATTTCCAACCCTTATATTGTACTATTACAAGGTCCCCCAGTTACTTGCTAAATAAATTTACTCCGCTGGATTTTTAAAAGAACACTAAATGTATCATACAGAGTCCTAGAATGGCGATAGAAGAAAACAGATAAGCTGGAAGAAAAGTCGAAAGACCAACAATAGAAAATCACTTCCCAAAAGATTGTGGATCATTGCTTTGAATGTGGAGAGCCACCTGGGTAGGTGGGCAGAGCACAATGGTGAACAAAAGTGGTCGAGCATGTGGACTCTGGAGCCAGCTGCCAGGGTTCACATCCTAGCTCCCCACTGCCCAGCTGTGTGACCATGGGCAGGTTCCTATACCTCTCTTGTGCTTCTTTTCCTCAGTTGAAGAGGGAACTAGTAATAGTACTCACCTCATCAAGTTGTTTGGAGGATTAAATATGTCAATACTGGTTTAGCCCTTCGGGGTGGGTTCATGGTACATAGGAAGCACTCAGTATGTTAGCCATTTCTGTCTTTGACAATCCTCTCCTTGCCTTTGCCACGTGCAAATATTGTGCCCAATATGGGCTGTGGGCAGCCAACCAAACAGAAGGAGGAGGGGCTTTTCCTCCCTTGGGTCTAGGGATCTTCTGTGTGTTGGAATTCTGTGTAGGAGGAGGTCTTCCTGCAACATCTGGGCACCCATGAATCCACGGGTTTCCATCCCCCGGACTTGTCCTCATTCCAACATGTTTTCAAAATAAGTTCTGCATTTCAAGCACATCAAGCTAAATTTTAGTTTTAGCCTCTCTTACATATTTGGAATTAGAACCTCCAGAGTCCGTTATGCAAATAAATGCAAATGATATGCAAAGAAGAGGTAGCCCCATATTGTGGGGAGGGAGAGTGAGCAGGCCAGCACAAAGAGCCTTGAATGAAAATTTGCATGTGTTTAGGGGAGCCCTGGGTTGAAGGCCTTGCACATTTATTTTGTCAATGTGTGTCTCATTCAGTCATTAACTTTTTATACCAAGGAGGAGAGGTAAACTCTTGTCTGATTTCCATACTGAAGGTGACAGTAGAGGTTGAAGGTGGTATTTGGGCAGTGTGACATAGTAGTAATTTTTTATGATACAAATAAAAAGTTGCTTTGAAATAATATCCCAGGCTGTGGTGCAGGCTGTGTCCCCAACTAGCTGTGTGTCCTTAAACAAGTCACTTCACACCTTCCATTGCCCTCTCTATAAAATGAGGGAGTTGAATTAGATGAGCTCTAGGGTCCCTCTCACTGTGACATCTAATGTCATCCTCCAAGTGAAAACCCTTTGCACCCAGGATGGCATTATCCACTCATTATACCAATGATTTACTCTGATGTCTGAAGAAGAAAGGGCTGAGGGGTACTTTAACAGTCTTAGAGAAAGGAAAATAACCTCAGGGGATACTGGCTACTGAGAAGAAAAAGAAGCAAGGCCAAACATGTTTACTTGTTATACTGTAAGTCTTACAGCAAGAAGAATTGCAGTCATATACTTCCTAGCAGGGAGGATTTTAGCCCCTGGAATGCTTATGGTGGGAAAGCTAGTGGAATTTCTTTCCCTGAGTATTTTAAAGACCAGGGTGTATTAACTTTCTGACTCTGGAGTACTGCAGAAGTCCTACTGGAGGCAGGAGGCTCCTACCCACCCGGGCCTGCCCCTGGGGTCAGCTGGTGCCTCTCTGACAGCTTTGTACTGCCCTTGATGCTTCCACCAAAAGGCTACGGTGTTTTTGGTCTCTGGTCTCTGATTGTATCCGACACCTCTGTTGCTCTACCCCAGGAATCCTCTGTGCCCACAATTTTAACTCCAGTTGTGGCTGCAACAAGCAGCTGGGTGCAAGTGCAACCTGACAACCCCTCCACCCCAAGGCTTCTCTGACTCGGCCATGTGAGGCATGTGCGCAAGCATGGACGTGCAGTGGAATTAGCACCCATGGGGAGCCCTTGACCAGTGAGGATGGGATCCACTGGCTAACGCTCCTTACAGGCAGACAGTTTGAGGTGCAATCTACTCAGCTCCTCAGAGGTCCTCAGTGGGTGTGAGTTGCCCACCCTGATCACCAGTAGCCTTCCTTGGATTGCTCTTCTATCCTTCCCTGTTTCATTCATCTGAGTGCCCCACGGATGTCCCCTGGGGTCACTTCCCACTATAGACTATCTGCACACGAGCCCTTTTTCTGTCTCTCCTTTGTGAGGGAACCCCAAATATAATGGGCACTTATACTGAACCAAGGTACTCATGAGCCAAACAGGATTGTAAGGGAATATCCATCAGAATGTCAGAGGTTGGGACCACCAGCCCTAAGAATAGATTGTCTGGTGGCATTCGGCTGCAGGGGCCAGGATAACCCTGAGCCAGTCAGAGGATGGCGAAGCCTGGCTCCTTCTGTGGATGCATCTTACTGTCCTCTCCTTCGTTCTTCTGTATCATTAGTGGGGTTGAATGGGAACAGCATGCATTTTGGAAACAGCCTCAGTTTCAAATCACACTTCTGCAGTGTGACTTTAAACATGTTGCTTGATCTCCCGCAGCCTCGATTTCCTGCCGCTTGGAGTGATTGTGAGGTATACAGAAACGGGTGAGAACAAGACACTAATTAAATTATCTGCAGTATTTTGTGGTTGTCCTCCATTTTGTGATCTGATATAATTATCCTATGTGTTATAAATCCTAACCTCTATGATGTTAATGAGGCAGGATTAGAGGCAGTTATGTTAATGAGCCAGGACACAATCTATAGGATTAGATTATATCTTGAGTCAATCTCTTTTGAGATATAAAAGAGAGAAACGAGCAGAGAGGAGAGGAACCTCATTACCACCAAGAAAGAAGAGCCAGGAGCAGAGCTCATCCTTTGGACCTGGGGTCCCTGTGCGGAGAAGCTCCTAAACACAGGGGAAGATTGATGACAAGGACCTTCTCCTCGAGCTGACGGAAAGAGAAGCCTTCCCCTAGAGCTAGCACCCTAAATTCAGACTTCTAGCCTCCTAAACTGTGAGAGAATAAATTTCTGTTTGTTAAAGCCACAACTTGTGGTATTTCTGTTATAGCTGCACTAGATAACTAAGACACGTGTTTAGAAGTGTTTTTAAATTTATAGGAAGTTTTTGTCCTTGTGCATTTTCTCAATGAACACGGAGATTCTCATTCAAAACCCCGGATTTTTGATGTATAAAAGGACTACTAATACTCAAAAAGTGAGGGCAAGCAGCCCAATGAGAATTTTCTGCTGAGAGCTCAGCTGTGTGAGCCCCATGGGAAAAGCAGTGAAGCATAATGACAGCCATAATGGCAGCTTGCATTTGTGGACTGCGCCTTCTACTCCAGGCTCTCTGCTGAGTGCCAGATCTGGGTGCCCCTTCTCTGGAACCCTGTCCCCTCTTTCCTGGCACTCTCTTCTGGCACTGAGACGTCTCTGCCTTGTTTTAGGATTGTTTGTGGATTTGTGCAAGCTGATCAAGGGCCAATGACTGCCCTGCTCATTTATGTGTCCCCCAGGGTCAAAGAGAGGGTGGGCCCTTCTAAATTGTTTGGTGAATGGCCCTGAACAAGCAGAGGCCTGCCCATTGGTACCTCTGAATAGTGTATAAATGGAGGCTTCAGAAAAGGGGCACAGGAGTTGGTCAGCTCTGCCTTCCCAGGCCTTCTTCGTTGGCTCAGGGTGACTCAGCCAGAGCTGCTGGCTTCCTGATGGCTATGCCCCTGGTCTTGACCCCTCCCTGGCTGTGGAGAGGCAGCAGGGCAGATGTGGAGGCTACAAGCCCTTCTTTCGAATCCCAGCCCCAGCCTGATCTGAGAAAATGCCCTTGGGCAGAGGGCTGATGGCATTTCAGAGGTCTTTGGGAAAGGCTGGGACAGGCCTGTTTAGTGGCCTTTGGGTCCCCTGATGCTGGTTTCTCTTCCTGACAGGTGCTGGTTGGCACCTATCTAATAGGCCTGTCCCAATCCCACATGGGGTTCTGTGTCTGATTTGAGAGTTGGGGAAGCAGTGTGATCTCCAGAATGCTCTTACATTTCCCCCTGCTCTCAGAGATTTGCAGGGTCTGGGGTGAGGAAGGCCCAGCTGTACGCTGCTCCAGATGTTTCACCTCTTCTCTCTGTCTTCCTCTCAAGGTTTCTTCCTGATCTTGGCACTGACTGAAGCACTGGTATTTGCCGTCCAGGAATCATCTCCCAGGGAATCTCTTCAGGTCCTCCACTCAGGCACGACTCCAGGCACCATGGTGACAGCACCCCCCAGCTCCTCAGTGGTGGCTGTCCCTGCCTCTGTGGCAATGCTTTCACCCCATGTTGATGGACCCTCCTCACAGGCCACAGCACCCATGGCGACAACGATGCCCCATCTAGACAGACACCCTCCTACAAATACCATCCCTACCATCATGGTGACAGAAACTGCCCCCCATTCTGAAGGCCTGCTGTACACTGGGCCCCCTCCTGCTGCCATGGCAACCACATCCACCCACTCAGAGGACCACCCCCCAGGAGAGGCTGTCCCCACCATCCTGCTGACAAAGCCAACAGGAGCCATGAGCCACCCCACAGGGGAGGCTCTGCCCACCATCCTGCTGACAAAGCCAACAGGAGCCACGAGCCACCCCCCAGAGGAGGCTGTCCCCACTGTCTTGCTGACAAAGCCAACAGGAGCCACGAGCCACCCCCCAGAGGAGGCTGTCCCCTCTGTCTTGCTGACAAAGCCAACAGGAGTCACCAGCCACCCCCCAGGGGAGGCTCTGCCTACTATCCTGCTGACAAAGCCAATAGGAGCCACGAGCCACCCCCCAGGGGAGGCTGTCCCCACCATCCTGCTGACAAAGCCAATGGGAGCCACCAGCCGCCCCACCACAGCAGGCCCCCGGTCTACTACACGCAGGCCCCCAAGGCCACCAGGCTCTTCCCGAAAGGGAGCACGTAGTTCATCACGCCTGGTCCCACCTGCGTCCAGTGGCCACTCGGGGAGGAAGGAAAGCCAGCGAGGGCGAAATCAGAGCTCCACACATCTGGGGCAGAAGCGGCCTCTGGGGAAAATCTTTCAGATCTACAAGGGCAACTTCACAGGGTCTGTGGAACCAGAACCCTTTGCCCTCACCCCCAGGAACCCACTCCAGGGTTACTCCTCCTCACCACAGCCCCAGACAGTGGCCACAACCACAGCGCCCAACGGTACCTCATGGGCATCATCCACCACCCCCCTGGTGCCTGCAGAGAACAAGTCAGGCCTTAGCAGAACAGACCAGGAGGGTGGTCCCGCCTTCACCAGCCAAGGAGGGGAGCTGAATGCCACAGCAGCCTCAGGTGCCCCCGCCAGTCCACAACTTGCCCCAGTGCCTTCTCAGCGCCACCGTGGTGACCCACAGGACAGCCCCAGCCACAGTAATTCCTTGCTTACTGTCATCCCTGGCACCAACAGACCTCTGTCTGCCAGCTCTGGGGTCTTCACAGCTGTCCCAGGGCCCACCCAGGCTGCCTTCGATGCCAGTGTCTCAGCCCCTTCCAAGGGGATTCCTCAGGGAGCATATACAACCCCACAGGCCCCAACCCACCCCCCTGGGGTCTCAGAAAGCACTGTTTCCCAAGCTAAGGAGGAGGCTGCGGCCACCTCCTCCATGACTGGCAGAGTGCCCAGTCCTCTCTCCACAGTGGTGTCCACAGCCACAGGAAACTTCCTCAACCGCCTGGTCCCCGCCGGGACCTGGAAGCCTGGAACAGTAGGGAACATCTCTCATGTGGCCGAAGGAGACAAACCCCAGCACAGAGCCACCATCTGCCTGAGCAAGATGGACATCATCTGGGTGATCTTGGCCATCAGCGTGCCCATCTCCTCCTGCTGTAAGTGTCTTGCCCTCTCCCACCTCCCCCTTCCCTTCTTCCTCTCCCTCTACCATGCCAACTTGCTCATTCACAGAATTCAAGTCCACTGTTGTCCTAGAGCTGGGCAGTCTTCACCAAGTGGGCTGCAAAAATTCCCAGAATCCCAGGAAACAAAGTAGCAAGACAAGACTCATAGGTCATCCCTGCTCCTGGTCCTTGGCTGTGCCAGGCCATGGTTCTGTGCTCACTCACCACAAAGCCACAGCTCCTGGGAGGGCCTTGCAGACAGTCTAACCCAACCCTGCATTTTGCAGAAAGACACGCCAAGCTGGAGAGTTGAGGTGGCTCACCGAGGGTCCCAGAGCTAGTGAGCGGCAGGGCTGGGATGGTGAGAGCTCAAAGTGCCTGTCTCAAGCCCAGTGCTCTTGTCACTGTACCGCCCTGCCACCCTCACCCTCAGGCTTAGCCTTTCTCCCTGATTGTCTCTATAAATGCATATAGCAACTTGGCACCAAAACCCCACAGGTGAAAGTTGGCTCTTCCAAATTCATAGCCTCTAAGTAACAAAGCCTTCACCTTTCTCTCCTACTTCTTTTCCATCTCCCCTCTTGTCCTTCCTCTCCTCTCCCCTCTCATCTCTTCTCCTTCACTTTGCCTTTTTCTTCTCTCTCTTCCCCAAAGAAAAAAGAGGAAATGGAGCTTTTTATTTGGTAAGAAGTTTTATTAGCCTTGGCAAAAACATAATTCTTGTAGCTAAAGCGGGACTTGAGAATTACGTGTGAATTTTGCTCTCCTCCTATTTCCCTGTTTTATTTGCTGTGGTGTAAGCTGGATGCAGTGTGAGCCTCCTGTTTGGCAGCATTTTGCTTCCACTGGTATCTAGTGAAGGCATCTCCCAAGGCCATCAGCACCCCCATGCTGCAGCCTGATGCTCTGTTAATCCAGAGTCAGGAGGCTTTCTCCCTGATGTCTCTAAACAACCTGATCTAATCTCTCGGGACTTTACGGCTTTCTTTATGTTTTCCCCATCTACTTGGTCCTAGATTCTTGAGAGTTCCTCTGCTAAGCTCGCAGGTATCTTCCCTGTACTCTGCCCCACCCCACTCCCAAATGGTTATCATCCGGCCACCCTCTGAAATCCCGGCTGTGAGATGACCCACACCTCACTCACTGGGCAGCCCATTCTCCTTTGACCTTTCAGGCATTACCCCACTACTCCGGGGGACTGAAATTTGCCCCCTTGTAATTTCTACTCCATGTTCCTAAGCCTTACCCTCTGAAACACCAAAAACAGTCCATTTAATAACCCCTCAAGACAGGTGAAATGGCTCTCAAGAGCAGTCTTTTCTTTTTCCGAGCTACTCATCCCTGTTCCTTGAAGTCTTCCTCAAGGGGCTATATTGCCTTGGCCCTCACCCCACTGTCTGCCCCTCCGGATGGCCTCCAGTTTACCCCTGTTCTCCAGAAGGGAGCTGGGCCTTCGACATATGCCCAGCAATGGCAGAGGAGAGCGTATGGTGGTTCATTTGTCTGGACACTGGGCCCGATTGAGGAGCCCGCGCTTGCATCAGCTCTGTTGGTTTTATTAGCTTTCACGTCACCCCACTGGATCTCACCCCAATCTCAAGAGGAATGAAAGTCCTGAGGCTTTTCACATGGGGAGGCTGTTGAGCCAGGTCCCCTCCTCAGCCTTTCCACATGCTGTGGGCTGTTTGAACGATAGTGCTAGACGGTTACGCCTTTAACATGAATCATGATTTCCACTCAGCATTGTACTCCAACAAGATCTTTTTCAATCTAGAGTCTGGATGCTTTCCCTAAGCCACCTCTCCCAGATTTCTCTGGGTTGGTGAGCAAAGCAAACTTTCCATGTCAGTGGTGGGTGGCCTATTTCTGCTCAAGGACCCAATTCAGGAAGAGTCAAAGTATTAGCCCGTTGCATGTTTGTTCATTCTTAATGAAAGCAGGTGTATTGTCTCTTAAGATACACATGTATTCTTAAAACTGTGATTTCTCACTTTTAAAACAGAAGAATAATAATGAGAAAATGTAGCAGTATTAGCCAATAAATTATTAATAATGGTCATATTTGAGAAGTAACCACATTAGAGGCAACTTTCTAGTTGCCCATTCCTTTCGTGTGTCCAGGATGCTTTAGTTTACAAAGTGAGCTCCCATTAATATCATCATTCCATCCCTAAATCAGACTGGCCAGAGAAATAAAATAAAAACAGAAGCAAACAAACAAATCACCCAAGGCGATTCTGGCCGTCATCTACTCCTTACAAGTGGGCGGTAAGTCTCCAGGTAAAGTGACTTGCCCTGGATCCCAGTCACACAATAGGTCAGCCAGCTAGTGGTAGAATTCGTTTGTCTGGTTTAATGTAATATTTCCTGAGGGCTCATTATCTGCCAGGCACTAGGCAATCAGAAGTGTATGATGTGGCTGCCTCCCCAACTCCCAGAGCCCTCTCTCCAGCTGGACTTCCTTCTTTGCCTAGGCTGGACACCCAGAGTAGACCTAGCCTGCACACCCACCTGGGTTTTGCAATTCCTCTCCCCGAACCGTTCTGCTAGGTATGAGTTTGAAATTAGATCAGCTCTTACTGCAAAGTCAGAAAGTCCCTGGGCTGCCTAAACCATGCATAAAAGTGCCAGCCAAGACCTGCAAGGATGCAGCCTGGAACATTTCCTCAGGAATGCTTCTGGTGCTCCGACAGGAGGCTTCAGATGCTAGGAATATAACATTACTTTCTAGAGGAAGATATGATCTCTTATTCAACGTGGACTCTAGATAGCACCTTGGAATTGCAGACCCTACCTCCTTTGGTGTCTGTCTTGCAGTTCCACCATCCACCTGGAACACTCCCATGAGCCCTCACTCCTAGATTCGCCAAGGTTCCTGCCTCAGCCCTACCTGCTTCCACACATAGCTCTCTGTCCTCGGCCCTGGCCCATGACTCCTGTGGGGTCATTGTTAACCCAGGGAAGACCCCACTGGAGGGACACAGAAGAATACTTGTCCAGCTTCAGAACCCTGTGCTCTTTCAAACCACAGATAACGTGAACATCCAGGCTGTTTCCATAGCCCAACCCTCCCTCTGTCCTTAGGCACTCTGCACCCCTCAAAAGAAGGGTCTCAGCCCTTGCCACTTTGCCAGATATTTTTGGCAGTCTGCATTAGTAGCAAAGTGCACGCGTAGGTTTCCTCTCATCTGGTTTTTCAGACCAGCACTGGCCCTGGCCCTTCTCCTCTTCATCCACCAGAAGCCAGAGTTCAGGTGGCCAGGGCTGCTGGTCAGGGGATGAGCATAGCACACCCCAGGCCTGCCCAGGGAAAGATGTTATCAGTTCCACCTGCCCTTCTACCCCAGGCTGGAAGGATATGTGTATGCCAGGGCTGGGAGATGCTTCTTTTCCTGAGCCATGCCAGAGTCTTGCAGGGTTTCCAGATGTGCTGAGAAATGAAATTGATTGGACCCAGGGCACACTCATTGGAGCAGGGGACCCTGTGGCTTCTAAGCTGGTCTCTGCTGCCACCATCAGGACACACACAACCCACCATCTCCTGCTAGAGGCGTCTGGGCCTGGCACTACCAGCCTCCCTTGCCTGTCCCATATGTGCCACATCTGTGCTTGAGAATGTCTTCACCTAGCCTCCCTGTGTGAAGATGCAGGGTTTATAGAGAGTGAGAGCAGGAAGCACTGCCAGCTGCAGATGTTTTTCATCCCCAGTCCAAGCTGAGCCTGGCCGAAGCAGAGTAGCACCTCACTGACCCAACGTGTGAGGTCCATCTATACACCTTGCCCCAGAGCAGTCCGGCTCCTTCCAGTCATATGGTAAAGACCCTTGGCATATTCGTGCAGCATGACGAGATAACGTAGCAATGTGCCCAGTGTGGCTCTTGGCTATGTTAATTGTTCGGTGAATGTTTGTCACATTTGAATATATATATGTACCTTTTACTCACAGGCCCAAAATGATTTTGTAAATATTATCTAAGACAACCTGGGTCAGAATTATTCTTGACCTGGAGGCTTGTCTCCTTGGGGCTTATGAACCAGTGGAAGGAGGAGGAGGGGGATGTCAGGGCTGCCCAGGGATGTCACCTTGGCTGCACCAGAGTGTTGTGCCCATACTCTAACAGCTTTTCTCTGTGCTTCCCAAACAGGGCCCCTGTGGGAACCTCCTTGGACCTTTGACAGGCTTATTCCCAACCCAGGATGGGGAGCCAGGCAATAAGCCCCCACTTGGTTTCCCCAGGCCCGTGACCTCATGTCCAGCCTGGCCTCCTTCCATACCCTAAGGCCTCCCCTTGGCCTCCTCCCTCAACCTTCAAATGAGGGAAATGAATGTCCACAGCACTGGCTCACCCCTCACGTTGGAACCGTTGGACTAATCCTTTCTGGTCTCAAGTTTCCCTCTATAAAATGAAAGGGCTCCCTGTCTCCTGTAACTTTTCTAACTTTAAAAATACATGAATCACTAGAGATGAGGCCTGGTGTAATAGAAAGACTTGGCTTGTGGATGTAAACCCTGCTCTGCCACTCATCGGCTGCAGAACTCAGACACATTAACTGTTGATCCAGTGTTTTCTCAAATGAGACTAATATCCACTGTGTTAGTTCAGGTCCTTTGAGAAGCAGACACCTAGGTGGGATTACGTAGGCATGCAAAAGACTTACGGGGGAAACACTTGTGAAGTATAAACGGAAGGAACCAGAGTAGGCAGGGAGGGTCCTCAGACTGAACATAGGCCTGACACCTGTGAAAGGAGCAGAGTAAGGAAGAGTGGGTAGGAAGAATCTTGGACTAAAGTGAAATTCTGAGAAAGTTTCTGCCAGGCCAATGGGCGTCCTCTAGCCATAAGAGGAATCCTGTATCCCACAGAGCAGCCCTGAGAAATACGGCCTTTGTGCAAACGTGGTATGGATCCAGAGAGGTGGCAGCTGAATGGGGCATTTTCTTGGCCGCAATACCCACCTCAAAAATGTGTTGTGAAAATCAGATAACGCATATAAGCTCCTCCCACAGTGTCTGCCATGGGGAAGGGGCTCAAGAGGTGGCAGTGATAACATAGTGATGATTATTATTGTTACTGCTGTGATTGCAGTGCTGTCTCAACCAGGCCATAGAGAGCAATTTCAGCAGGTGTTTGAACAGGTTGAATCCTCGGGATCCTGTAGGGTTTCATTTCCATTTCCCATTACACATTGGTTCCCATCACCTGAAAGCTTGCCACCCCTCCTAGAAAGGTTAACACAGAGCTCAGGGCTCTATCTTAAAATCAGTGACCTTACCCCTTCCTGCCACACATCCAACAAGCCATGGATGACTCCCCATCAACATTCCTGGGAAGCCAAAGGAGTTTGCTTAGTTCTCACCCTGTTTTAAAACTTGAGGAAATAGGGGCTGTTGATCTCCTATAGTGTTTTACAGCTGTTGCTTTAGGAGTAATAGAAGACTTAAAGCTCTGTAACTAAATCAGGAAGGGGTGGATAACACCTTGTGTTTGCAGAGGGGTGTAGTTTACAAAGTGCTTCCACATGCCTAATGCATGTTCCTTCCCAGTGCTCAGGACACTATAGGACAATGGGCATAAACTTGCAGGTCACATAGACCTGGGTTCAAGTTCCAGTAGTTAACTGTGTGATCAGGATCAATTTTCTTAACTTCCATGAGTTTCAATTACTTCTTCTATCAGTGGGAAGAGTAATAGTACCTTCCTCAGAAGGTGGTTGTGTGGATTAAATAAGACTGGGAAGTGCCTAGGTCAGTGCTGAGAATATATCAGCTATGCCAGCAATCTGAATTGTACTTTCTTTTCTTGGAAGAAAGGTCAGACCACCGAAGTAGTGAGCCAGAGATGGCCCTTTGGCTTTGAGCCATCCAACTATTGTGCAGCCCAGTTTTCTTTTTAGATCTCGCTTGTGGACGGTGCTGGGAGAACAAGGAGTGGGAAGAGAGCTATCATTAATTCAGTACCTACTGTGTGTCAGGGAGAGTGCTCAGCATTTTGCATCCATGAGCTCTTTAATTCTCATGACAACCCTAGGAAGTCCATGTTAATCAGAGAGATGGAGTGACTTACCCGGCAGGCCTTTGGCTCTAAGACTCTGCTCTCTCTGGAGCGAGGCAGACTTCCAGTGAGTGAATGAAGTGGTGCTTGAGAAGCACTGGGAACTCCCTGAGAGAAACAGAATGGGCCTGGAGCATTAACATGTGGGGGAGAGAGCTTGGGACAGAACTCCCTGTTCCACCCCCAGGCCATCCTGCAACAGTGACAGCCCTTCCCGCAAGGCAGAATCCGGGGGTCCTGTGTTCTAAACAGGCCCAGGCTTGAGAGCCAGGGATAAGGTGGGCTGTTAGAAGGAGCAGTGGACTGGAGATCAGAGGGCCTGGATTCTGCAGCCCGTGCCCCCTAGGTTAGCAGCATGGCCTTGGGCAAACTCACTTCTCAGTTTCCATTCCCCACTTTGTAGAATCACAGTGCAGGACGGGGAAGGAACTTATATTGGTTCAGCACTCACTGTGTGCCAGGGAGTATGCCACATGCTACCAAATGCATGATTTCATTTACTCTTCCCACAAATACCCCTCTTCCTTTGAGAAGCATGCACACTGTGCAGATCTGGCTCACGTGTACATGTTGTGCCCCTGCTCACAAGTGTTTTGTGTCTGGCAGTGTTGTGTGTGTCATGATGAGATACAACCTTAAAAACATGGTAATTGAAGAGTCACTTTGTCCCAAAGTAGGAAACATCTGACCCCCCCATCCCCTTCTCCCCCCCCCCGCCCCCGGCTCTGAGAAGAGAACACTTATCCCATTTCCCAAATGTTTTCCCTAACCCATTCTTTATGGCTTCTGTTTCACCGGCTTGAATCCCCCACACTACTTCACTTTCCCAGTTCCAGGAGCAGGGTGGAAAGGTAGTGACAGTGAAGAATGAAGAAACCAGGAAAAGGGAGAGGGGGCCTGGGGTCTTGTCCCAGCCCTGCCCTTGCAGACTGGGACTTGGAGCAAGTCAGCGTGGTACTTTGGGCCATAATTATCTCACCTGTAGAATAAGGAGGTGGCCTAAATTAGCAGACTTTCAGGCTGAGCTCTGCAGCCCCCCTCATCAACCCCATTTCTTCTTAAACCACTTGAAGAAAGAGCCCTTTAGAAGGAAGGGAGGGAAGGTGGGAGGAGGGCCACGTCATTTGAAAACATCTATACCAGCTAACTCCAAAATCCCTTTTAGCACAAGCATTTGGAGATCTCTACACATTTTAAGCTTCTTTTTTTTAGAGGAGCTAGAAGAATGGTAAGCAAATTAGTCTTTTTTTTTTTTTGATCAAACATCAGATGAAATGAAAACTTGCCCCATCTCTTGACCTTATTCAGAGGCACGTTCAGGTTGAGGTGACAGCAAGGCAGGCAGCTGGGAAGACGGCTTCAGGATTCCTGAGAGCCCACAGGGGCCTAGGGTCTGGGCCCTGAGGTCTCAGTCCTGTGTGGGTGCCAGCATCTGCAGCTGCCACACACCATAGCATGCAACTTTTCCTGATGCTGACCAAGCTCTCAGGCCACTGTGGATGGAGCTGACTTCTGCTGCCCCCTAGTGGCCATTTCCACCGTGGTGCTGGCCTCTATGGACAGCTCAGCGGGGGTCCCCCACGTCTACCCCAGAGTTTCAGCCGCCTCCCAAGGCTCTGGTGGTGGTGAGCCTGGAACAGGATGTGCCCACTCCTCATTTACTTGCTTCTCCCCAAGAGGACTTCTGTCACCCTCATCATTGTGCCGTGTGAGCCTAGACAGTCTACCACCTCTCTGACCTCAGAAGCATTTCTTGTCTACCTGCCCAAGCCACTGTGTTCACACCTGGTTCAGCAACAAAATTCAAACGTCCTGCTTCCTCCCTGGAGCCCCGTGAGTCTCCGAGACTGAACAGACAGGGTCGCAGGTCAAGCGAGCGGCCGTTAAGCTGTGTAGAGCTGCCATCAGGCCCATGTGTGCAGTGTGGGTTTTTGCATCAGACTTTGGCCTGTCTTCGTGCAGCAGCATGTTGTGTGTTAACAGCATAGACTTTGGAGTTGGTCTGTCTGGGTTTGCTCTTGGGCAAGTCACTTCGACTCTCTGAGCCTCAGTTTTCCTACCTGTAAAATAGGGACCATAATAGTGCTGACCTTTGGGTTAGTAGGAGGATTAAATGAATTAATATTCTAAAGTACTTGGAAAAGTGCCTGGCACGTATGTGCTATGTAACTGTTAATGGCTATTGTTATTATTTTTGAGATGCTGATGGGAAGGAGGAGGAGAAGGTGGCCAGAGAAGCTCTTCGGTCAGGGTCCAAGACTTCTGCCCAGTGGTTTTCCTCTATGAGCGTCTGCTATCAAGGGGGCCCTCTGTGGAAGTCAGGGTCTTCTTTTGTAACATTCTCTGTGCTCTGCCCTCTTTCTGCCGTACTCTCACGAACACTCCTTATCAATCCAGCGGGGCAACTCAGAGCACACATGCCATTGCTCTGCAGCCAGGCTCTGGGACACCCTCCCACTGAATGAGCAAAGTCCACAGATACCCTCAAATGACATCCAAGCCTCTTGTCCCCAAGCACTGTGGATGCAGCCTCTAAACACTGCTGTGGCCTCATCTCCTACCTCACTCCCCCACACTCACTCCACTCCAGCTACCTGGCCTTTTCTCATCTCCTCATCTTGTCTCCACCTCAGGCCCTTTGCACATGCTATTCTCTGCCTGGAACACATTGCCCTGTTCTTCACATACCTGGCTCCTTACCCACATTCCAATCTCAGTTCTGAGGTCATCTCCTCAGAGAGAACTTTCATGATGACTGTAAAGCAGTCTATCTCCGAACTCCCCACCATTGTCTCTCTAACTTTATCCTGGTTTTTTTTTTTGTCTTGGAACATATACTGCTCTCTGAATTTACCTCATTTATTCATTTTGTTCATTACTTATGTATCATCTGACCCCCTCCGCACCCCACACACACACTAGAATGGAGGCTCATGAAAGCCGGGGGTCTTGTCTCCTTTTTTCACCCTTACCTCCCCAACATCTTAACAGTTTCTGGCATAAAGTAGGCACTCAACATATATGGATATTTGTTGAAGAATGAGTGAATGAATGAGATGAGTGGTTGAATGTATGACCGTCACAGCCCCACTTGGGAAACTGGCATTTGTCACCTGGCAATGCTGGCTCCATCCTTGTCGCTTCCCTCTCCCTCTCTCTGACCTGGACTCTCTCCACAGCTGTCTTGCTGACAGTGTGCTGCATGAGGAGGAAGAAGAAGACAGCCAACCCGGAGAACAACCTGAGCTACTGGAACAACGCCATCACCATGGACTACTTCAACAAGCATGCTGTGGAGTTACCAAGGGAAATCCAGTCCCTTGAAACCTCTGAGGTAATAAGCCCCACACCAAGGGGTCCCCCGGAAGTGCTGGGCCACTGCAGCAGGTGGAGAAGCACAGGCCCCAAAGAGAGCTGTGGAGTGTCTGCTCTTTTCTTCGGCCTTGCTACTCAGCTGTGCTCTGTGGGCCAGCAGCATCAGCAACACCAGGAGTTACAGGCCCCACCTCAGCCCTGCTGACTCCCAAATGCCAAGATCTTCATTTTACCAAGAATCCCCAGGTGCTTTTCATGCGTGTTAAAGTTTGGGAAGCACTGTTCCTGGGACTTTGGGTTTCTGGAAATAAGTCAACAAATATTCATTGAGGACCCATTTTGTGGCAGATACTGTCTGGAGGCTATGAAGATGATAGCTTGCCCTCAAGGAGCTCAGATTCCAAGATATGGTAGGAGGACGGCCCCCAAGCATCATTCAAAAACAGAACAAACTGGGGGAGATGCAGGAAAGGTTACAAAGAGTTATTGAAATTCAGGAGAGGAAGGACTTAATACTGATTGGACTAATCAGGGAAGCCTTCACAGTGGAGGTGCTAGGAAGAATAAACAGACTCAACAGGCAGAGTAAGACAAGGCATTCCAGTCAAAGCCTGAATGAAGGTGGACATTTTGCTAGGCGTGGATATCAAAGGAGAGAAGAATACACTGGGTCAGGAGGTGTTAGCCCAAGACACCAGGATGGCCAGTGAGAGAGCTGGACTTTGAACTCAGGTCTTTCTGACCGTAGAGTCTGTGCTCCTTCCACTGTCACACAAAGAGTGGGGCAGAGGCCAGGTGGGACAGGAAAGGTAAATGGAGGCCAGGTTAAGCACAGTCTTGAACGGGGTATTATGGATTTTGGACTTCATTCTTAGGCAGCAGAGGGTCATTGAAAGTTTTGAGCTGTTGGGTGACTCAGATTTAGAAAGATTGTGCTGATGACCTGGTGAAGGCACTCCGTACATGATCAATGAATGAGTAAGGAAGGAAAGGAAGGGTGATTTGATGGACGGATGAATGGATGAGAGGACAGACAGAAAGGCAGTCTAGAAATAGGTAGGTCGACTAGGGTGCAATTGAGATGGCCCAAGAGAAAGATGGTGGACATCTGAGTAAAGACAATGAGAGCGGAGAAAGTTCTTCTGGAGGTACAACCCCCCTTTGCCCCTGCATATCCATTCCCCACAGCAGCCAGGGTGAGCTTTTGTGAACATAAATGTGGCCATATCACTCCCATGTTCAAAACCCTTCTGTAACTTCCCATTGCTCTTTTACAGGGACTATGAGGTACCACAAGACCTGACCCTGGCCCAACTCTTCAGCCTCATGTCATGCCCCTTTCCTCCTCATTTGCTCAGCTCCAGCCACACTGGATTTCTTTTTGTTCCTTTATGACACCAAGTTATGTCCCACTCCAGGCCTATGCATGAGCTCTTCCCTCTCCTAGAATGTTCTGGCCTTCCCCCTCCTCAGAACCTTCTTCTCTTGTTCACCTCAATAACTCCTACCTGTCTTTCAGAACCCAGTTTAAACATCACCTCCTCAGGGAGCTCTTCCCTGACTACAGGCTGAGTTCACTCTGCTGTCATATGGTCTCAGTTCCCCATGCTTTCCCATCAGGCACTTACTAGAATTGAGATTATGTAGCATCTGGTCTGATACTTGTTTAATCTCTCTCCTCCATTAGAATAGTGAGGTGCCTCCACATTACTAAACCAATGATCAACAACAGCATTGGGACCATCGATCATCTCCTCCTTCAAACGTCTCTTCTCTGGCATCTGAGGCCCCACCCTCTCTGCTTCCTGGCAGCTACTTCTCAGTCTCCGTTATTAATACCTTGTCATTTTCCTGACTTCTCATAAGGCATGCCCAGCTTAGTCCTCCCACTGCTTCTCTTCTCTTTTAACTTAGTTCTACAGCTTTAAATTCCATCTCTACATCATGGACTCCCAAATTCCTGTCTCTAGCCTTGATGTCACCCCTTAACTCCAGACCCATATGCCCAGCTGCCTACTGCACATATCTAATAGGCATCTCAAACTCAATGTGTCCAAGACTGAATGCTTGATTTCCCCCTTCCCACCCCCAAACTGAAAATCTCACCTGGTGTTTCTCAGTTAAGTACATAGCACTGCCATTCGCCTTTTCCTCTCTCACCCCACATCCAGTCTGTCAGCAAATCCCACTGGTTCTTCCATTGTAGGTCCTGAGTACAAACACTTCTCACCACCTGCACCACTGCCAACCTTGTCCAAGCCACTGTCATCTTTCAAATCATGGATTGCTGCAGTAGCTTCCAAAAACAGGATTCCCCACTACTATCTTGCCACCTGCAGTCTGCCCGCCACACAGTAGCCTGAATGATCTTTTCAAGGCAAGACATCATGTCAGCATGGCTCCCCAATCCTCAAGTGGCTTCTCTTCACACTTTGAATAAAACCCAGCCTTCTCTTACTATATCCTTCATGATCTGGTACCTGCCTACCTCCTCAACCCCTCTCCTTCCACACTTCCAGTTGACCACACCCTCTAGCCACACCAACTTTTTTGCTATTCCCCCAACACCATAAGGTTGTCCCCAACTTAGAGCTTTGCTTTTGCACCTATGTGAAATGCTTTTCTCCCACGTACCTCTGTGACCCCTCATGCAAATGACTTCTGATGGCAACTACCCACTTAGGCCAGATGTCACAAGGCTGCCCTGACTTCACACACCAGCCACAAGCCCAGGAGTCCCCAAACCACCCTGACTTCTGACCAGCTGGCTACAAATTCAGGGTTGCCACTACCTCCTCAGGTTTGATAATTTGGCAGATTGACTCACAGAACTCAGGAAAGCACTATACTTACGATTACAATTTTATTACAGCAAAAGGATACAAATCAGAACCAGCCAAAGGGAAAGACACATAGGGCGAGGCATGAGAGGGTCCCAAACAGGACGCTTCCACTGTCCTCAGGGACACATCACCCTCCCGGCACACTGATGTATGATGATACACAGAGTAGTGTCAACCAGGGAAGCTCACCCAAGCCTCAGTGTGCAGAGTTTTTATTGAGGCTTCATTACATAGACGTAATTGATTGAATCATTGGCCATGCGATTGAAATCAATCTCCAGCCCTCCCTCCCTGCAGGTCGGGCTGATACCATGTGGCTCAGAGCTCCAACTCTAATCATATAACCATGTGTCTTACTAGCATCTTGAGTCATCTTATTAGCATAAATTATCCAGGGGCCCACCATGAGTCACCTTATTAGCATAAACTATCATGTGTGGCCCAAGGGGCTCGCAGTAAATAATAAAGATACTCCAGTCACTCAGGAAATCCAAAGGGTTCAGAGGCCACCTCTCAGGAACCAGAGACAAAAGCCAACCAAATTCTTTATTACACACCTCCCTTCCTTCAAGTCTCTGTTCAAATGTCGCCTCCTCAGGGAGGCCCTCCCTGACTACTCTGTACAAATTAGAATGCTCCCTACTCCCTTCGTTATTTATCCCTTTCCATGCTTTATTTTTCTCAGCTTGCTTCTTGCCACCTGGCACTGCATTATTCTCTCTCCGTTGACTGGTTTGTTGTCTGTCCCTGCTGGAATATAAGCTGCCTGCAGGCAGGAACCTCGTTTTTTTCTGTTCACTGTTCTATCCCACAGCACCTAATCAATGTCTGGCGTGTGGTAGGTACTTGGTAAAATGTTTATAAATCATGTTTACCTGATTTAGCCTAACACACAGTAGATGCTCAATAAAAATTTTTGTCTTAAGGACAAAGAGAGACACAGGCTTCGTGAAGGCATTGCGCTTTAGTGAGGCCAGTGCACGTCTTACACGGCAGACAGTATCCCTGCGAACTGCTATAGTGAGTGAAAGAATAGGTAACTTGGCAAAGGGGCAGTCCCACTTTAAGTGTTATCTTGGCAGAGTGATCAGTGGAAGCCGAAGCCAAAGGGTGCTCATAAGTGTGCTGTAGAAAAGGCCCTGCCCCTGCAGCATCAGGTTAGCCACTCCTGCACGGAGCCCCAGGGCCACTGTTGGACAGGAAGCCAGAGGCCTGGGAAAGCAACGCAGCCACAATAGAGCCAGCAGCCCGAGCTTGCTCGGCTTCAGAGTTGGTTCTCTCTGTTCCCTTCGCAGCAGGTTTACTCCCCTCACTCTGTTTTAGTGAGAATAATACAACAATTTGCTCCAGCTCTCTGGGCTCATACTATTTGAGGCTAAAGGCAGCAGCCCGGAGACATGCTCAGAGCCAGGATGGAGACAGCTGTCACTAACATGGACTGCAGACCATCCACAGAGTGGTCGTGTAGTCACGGGGCACATTCCACCATATTCTGCATCTGCGGGATATGTACTACTGCCTGCCCTTTAGCCACCAACTTTTGAGGCTGCCAAATGCTTTGCCTAAGCAGATTCCTCTGGTGCCCTGCTCCCCTCCTGTGGTGATGGAAGCAGGAAAATACAAACCAGGGACCATGGGCACAATTGTGCTGCCCAAAAGGTGCTTGGAAACTGCTACTCTTTCTTTCCACTTTCTCTACTCTCCTGTCCATCTCTCCTCCCCTCCCTCCCTCCTATCCTTCCTCCTTTTCCCCCTTCCGCCTTCCCTTCCTTCTACTCTTCGTTTTTTCTTCTTCTTTTTTGCCTTCATTATTCCAAATAATTTTCTCCTTTTATGGCTTCAGTGAACACTTGCTGTGTGAGAACTGTAAAGCAAGAAGCCAAGTCTCAGCCTCCAGAATTCCCTTCACGGCCCAACCCAAAAGCACGGCAGAGAAGAAGGATGTCTGTCCCCTCTCTGCCTGCTGCCTTGTTATCCTTAGAGGGCGGGCCCCAAGGCCACCTTTCTCATGGACACTCAGTTCATTTCAGACAAAGGAAAGTCTTGTCTTCTGAAGACATTTTATAAACAATGGACTTTTTCTTCTTCTTATCCGTAGAGCAATGCATAGCCCTCAAAAACTATGTATCTATGGGTTTTGTTTAAAAATAACTTTGAGAGAATTCACTGTGGCTTCTTAAAATGAGTATGTTTCTAAGCAAGTCTGGGTAAGCCAGTTACGCTTAGACCTACTGTTGGATTTTTGCCCTGGAACAACCTGTAAGTTCCAAGACTTCAGCTGTTTACAGTCAGGACAAGCCATGACTTTTTTCCCCCCTACATTAAAACCTGGACCGCAATCTGAGTGCAGCCATGTAGTGGCCCACAAATGCTTGAAGTCCTTGGTAGCTGTGACCAGCACCCTGCCAGACCATTCAGACGCCTCTGAGGTTGTGCAGACAGGCTGATTTTTCTCTCACCACTTACTGCCATCACACAGATTCGCATCTGCTCGACTCAGCACACCTAGTGATACAAGAAGCGGGGCCACAATTGTGACCAGGCTCGGGGAGGTTTCGAGAGTGGGGAGAATTAGCCCTCGAAGGGTGACTCAGATGCTGACAGGTGGGTGGCTGGAGAGGACAAAGGAGCAAGGATAGGGTGTGTTCAGGGAAGAAAAGCAGAGAGGTGTTGCTGGGCCCAGGGTTCTGGGAAAAAGAGGCAGAAAGAGGTGTCTGGGGCCCACTATGGACCAGGTTTGCCCTCTGGGACAGTAGCCAAGCTCCACATGCACCAGGCGCATGAGCCATTTTAATTTTAATACGAGCCATTGCGGACTTTGACAAGGAGAGCAGTGCCATCTCCAGCAACCTGGGGTGAGGATGATTCGGGAAGCAAGAAAGCTCTTTAGGAAGCTACTCTAAAAATCTGAAAGAGCAAAGTGGGCTCTGCACCTTTGCATTGGCAGTGGAGGGTGATGAGAAAAGTTTACCAAGCAATTCCATGCTGAAATACACATGCCCATGTGTCCGTTTCTTTAATAACGGCCGTCTCACAAGCCCACCCCAGCTCACACCTTCTCCTACCTCTCTCTCCAGGACCAGCTCTCAGAGCCCCGCTCCCCAGCCAACGGTGACTACAGGGACACTGGGATGGTCCTTGTGAACCCTTTCTGTCAAGAAACACTATTTGTGGGCAACGATCAAGTGTCGGAGATCTAGCTGCAGGCCTCGCTTTGCCATTCCCTACTTTTGGTCTCTAAATTATAAATACACAAATATATATATATATTATAAATATAACCTTTGTGTAACCCTGACTTAATGAGAAACATTTTCAGCTTTTTTTCCTAAGAATTGTCAACATCTTTTTTATAAGTGTGGTTAAAGAAACTTTACAGAACGATTCGTGGCTTTATAAAATAAAAGTATTTCTAAGCAAAGCAGTTGCATTGATTGCTTCTCTTGATAACAGTTCTTGAGCAATGGGGGTCCCAGGAGCCCCAGCCTTCTCCAGTAGAAACTTAAGTCCAAGTTGAATGTTAAAATGGTCAAGTGTGTGGCCCTTTGAGTGATTCTCAAAGCTCTGATTCCTTGTGATTAGATGTGACCCATTTCCTCTGCCTTCGTATGCACAGCAGTGAAAGGAGCTGGGCCACTGGGGGCAGGACCGCGGAGTCACGCACAAAGCAGGAGAAGGGAACACCTCATCACCCAGAAGACCAGTGCCCTGGAGCCTCACAATGGCACCAACTGCTGCCACGTTTAATTCCACCCAAGTTACCGGAGGCAGGCAGGAACACGCGGCCCTCAGGAATTGCATGGAGGACATCAAGGCATCCTTCAGCACACCCCCTACATCACACAACAGGGTCTCCAGGGCAGCCAGCGTGAGCAACCACTGAGCTAACTACATGCCTGCATTTCCCTGGTGGGAGAGACTCCCCTTGAAGTTCGTTCCTGCTTCCCCTCCACTACCTACATCTGCATTAAACTCTGCTGCCTTTTTCTCGAGAGGGTTTAGATGCAGATCCCAGCCCGCCAGCTTCTGAGTATTTACCTTTTGTCAAGGAGCAAATGTTTATTGAGGTTTCGAGGTTTATTTGTTTTCTCAAAAGGCAATCTTATTGTGTCCCTGGAAACATGTTTGGGATAGGTCTGTAATTTTAGGAACCTTCTTCCTGCGATCTTAAAAAACCAAGATTGCCAAAGTGAATCACTTGGGAGAAGACGCCCGTTAACCCCACTCGGCATTACAGATCTGCTTGTGGGGCCAGCACAATGACTGGCCCTCCAGCTCTGTGTTTTCTAGACTGCTCCCCTCCATCTGGGGTCAGCTGCCTGTGTCTCCCACCCCACGCTGCTTCCAGTATGGCCAGAGACACGAGAAAGACTTCCAGAGATGGGCTGCTTGTCTATTGTTTTTTCTAATAGATAGTGGCTGAGAGAGAAGATAACTGCTTTGACACTTCCTTTCTCTAAAAGAGAAATAGTTTGATAGTATATTTTGAATATAGATGCTATTATAGTCAGATTGGGAATTGAATGTTGACTCATATGTTAGTGTCGTCGCTGTGGTCTTTTTATCATGATTTCTTCCTTTCTTCCTACATTTTGCTTTAAAAAAAATATGGCCTTCAAAAATGTGTGTTCTCAATGTTGAATGAACCTACTTACCTGTGTTTGGTTGTTGTCTCTCTTCAAAGACTCTTGGACCCACAAAGAAGCAAGTTAAATGCTGTGAGATTCATTCTCTAACATGCTGCTGTCTGGCCTTTATAACTTATCATGATATTTCTGTTAGCTGTTGCATTTAACATATCAGTGTGTGTGTGTATGTGTGTGTGTGTATGTAGAGATAAATCTGTAAAGTAAAATTTATATATAATATATGTAATCAAAGGTACATATGTTATATATACTTATGTGGATGTATGACTTATTTTTCCTTATCCACAGAATTCAGCTACTGTGTATATATAAATAAACTTATTTTGTTAGCCAGAGGATTAAATTGCTAATATATTTTGTGTTCTTTTCATTTTAACATAACTTCCTTAAGCAGTACCCATGCCACCTTATGCCCATCTCTATTTTTTTAATCTGATTTAACAGCACATTGGGTTTTATGAGTGTGATGAGCTAGTAGGATTAGCCGTCTATCATTTGATAAAAATCCCTTATATTTGTGATTCCTCCAAAAGAGAATCATCTCTCTTAGGTCTTTAGAGACATTGGTATCAGTTAAGATGGGCCCCCTCCTCATTCTCCCCTCCCAGGGCTCCGTAGAATCATTTTGAACATCTTTGGGACAGAGCAATCTGAAGTTAACCTGGCCACTGAGGGTCACCATTCTGTAGAGAATAACAGTGCCTAAACATGTCACCTTTGCAAACAACTTCATCTGTATCTTGGACCCTTCATTTAGCCTGAGATGATACATCCTGCAGTTCACAAGAATGCAGACCCTTAGGCCTGTCAGTATCACCTACATTGTTGTTGGGTGCCGTTGAGTCAATTCCAACTCATAGCAACTGCATGTGACAGAGTAGAATTGCCTCATCGGGTTTTCTTCGCTGTAATCTTGATGGAAGCATATTGACAGGTCTTTCTCCCATGGAGCCACTGGATGAGTTTGAACCACTAACCTTTTGGTTAGCAGCCAAGCGCTTATCTGTTGTGCCACCAGGGCTCCTTATCACTCACACAAGGAGGATATTATTAGTACACAGTCTCATGTGCACCATGACCACGTCGGGTGCACCAGAGGTGATGCTCACAGCAAGAATGCCACCTCTAAATAAAGGATACTGCCAGCCTTTACTTGATCGAGTTGGTTCCTTAATCTGTTAATCAAATAACCAACGTTGATATTTATAAAATGCCTTTTGTGCCATCTCAAATAGATGAAGTAAAAGAAAAAAAGGAGGGGGGGCAGCATTGTGGTGTCCTAATCAGCAGGAAAGAAAAACACACAGAATATTCTTGTAGGTGAGCAGGGTTTTTAACTCTCTTGTGGGACCTTACATAGGTACTCTTCTCTAGTGATGGGAGACGGAGAGGGCCTAGGTCAGTCACTGGACGAGGAGCCAGAAGAGGCAGCTCTGCTCCTTTCTGGACGTGAGACCTTGGGCGAGTCATTGCAGCTCTCAGGGCCCTCATAAAATGGGGATACTGGCCAATTGTAGGGCATGTGATGATACTTCCAGAGTTGTGCAGTGAACCCCAAATGTACCTGCCTCCTAAAGCTGAATTGAGAAGTCAGTAAAATAAAGCATGGAAGCCATGCACGGGGGTGGGTTCAGTACTCACTAGAAGTTGGCTCCCTTCCCCTTCTCTCACTTAAAGTCTGTTCCCACATTGCAGGATCTGGGATAAATTTTCTGCTCTGGGTTTTGGTTACCTGGTTTCTCCAGAGTAAGACTTAAGTACAGTGGGTTTAGGTCCAAGTTGTCATGCCCTGGGGCGGGGGGCGGGGGGGCTCCTTTCTGGCCCTTGAGAAGTGACTGAGGGGCAACCCATGACAGCGTGCCTCGGTGGATGACTGAAATCCTGACTTGGAGTTCCCTTAGAGAGCTAACTGGAAAACCGCTCTCCTTGTTGTTTTTATTTATTTGTTTTCCAACAGATGAGAAAACAGAGGTGTGGAAAATGTCTGTCGCATAAGTGCCCAACATGTGTGAGACCCGAATTTGCTCAAGGTGCCTTATCTAGTGCCTCAGGCCAGTGTATGGCAAGCAAGGTCCAGAGCAGTGAGGTAGCTTGCAGCTGATGAACAGCAGAACTAGAACCCACCCAGCTTGATGGACCGTCCACCAACCCTGGCTCTCTCTGAGGACACCTCCCTTTTCTGAAAGACTTACCCAAAGACAAGCCTGCCCAACCTGCCCCCAGGAAGGGTGTTACAGGGCAGAGATAAGAAGAGAAGAAAAGAAGCTAGGGAGGGACCAGAAGCTGCTGCCAGGCTTGAGGAGGGTGAGGAAGCAATAGCCTGGGTTTGTTTCTCTAGAGCCCCCGGGGCTGCCTCGCCCCATGCTGGCTCACATCCATTTTCATCCTCTATTACCTGTGTTGACATGGGTGTACATTCAGACCACCAGCACAAACAGGCACTGAGATGAGGCCTGGAACACCAGGATGGAGTTTTGGCTCAGCCACTCACTAATGAGCTGAGGTCTCTTGCACCTCAGTGTATTCAGCTGTGAAATGGGGCTGCTTGAGACCTGCCTTGCCCTCTCTTGGGTAGTAAAAGCCTGTCAACACTTATGGCCCAATTACAGAAACCCAGATGAACCACTCCCACCGCCTGCACTGATCAAGCCTCCCCCCGCCACCAGCTGAACAATCTGGGAGGCTGGGCACATGACCCTGCAGAAAATGCCTGAGTGCCTGTCTGCAGCAGCCCTGGGCAGGGCCTGTCTCAGCTCAGCAAATGGTGGAAACTCATGGAAGTAGCAAACAAAGCAGCCTGGGGGGTGGGGGAGTTTCCAGAGAGGTCCATGACCAGGCCACTGGGACTGGAATCCAAAAGCTGCTGGACTCTAAACCCACAGAGGCAGAAGGGGAGATGAGCGAGAGGCGAGTGGTGGTGGAAGCACCCACAGGTGCCAGCTTCAGCATGTCCCTCCACAGGCGCAGGGCGTCCTTCAGGGGGACTCAGTCATCATCTACCCTGGAGAGCACCCTGGGCTCCAGGGTCAATGTCAGGGGTGGCCTGGTCCAATCACCTGTGATCTATGTAGGGACAACACCCAGTGGGAGCATAGGTGGCCAGGGTGCCCACGTGACCTGCCGGGCCCTGGGTATCAGCAGTGTCTTCCTGCAGGGCCTGCGGAGCTCAGGCCTGGCCTCTGCGCCCACTCCAGGCCTGGAGGGGGACCATGATGCTGCCGAGGACTTGGGGGGCTGCCTGGTGGAATACACGGCCAAGGTGCGGGCCCTAGAGCAGGTCATCCGGGAGCTGGAAAGGCAACTGCGGACCCACCTGGAGAGCAAGGCCGTGGGCTCCGGAAGCTGGGGCGCCCTCAGGGCCTCCTGGACCAGCAGCTGCCAGCAGGTGAGTGCCTGGGCCGTGCCTCCTCTGCAGAGGGACTGGAGGGGACACTGAAGGCTGCCTGTTGCACCATCTCTGGGGTCATTATCAGAAAGCCCAAGTGCTGGGGCAGGTGACGGGAGTGAGTGATCCAAGGCCCGAGAAACTGACCACAGACCCTTACACTTTCATGCTAAAAATACTAATAGTAATAATAACAATAACAACAGGGACAATGGCTACTATCTACTGAGGTTCACTAGGGGCCAGGCCCACACTAGTTCCTGTTTGTGCACTCTCTTCTGTAATGTTCACAAGCAATGTATGCAGTGGATCCATCATGGATTACATTTTTCAGATGAGAGAACCGAAGTTCACAGAAGTAATTTGCCCACGATCACACAGCTAACTGAGAGTTGGAACTGACATTTCAACCTGAAATTTTCCATCTCCAAAGCTTAAACTTGTCCCTTACTCTGGGCTGCCTGTGTCAACCTTTACTGTAGAGAAAGAATTTTTCCAGCCATCATCAAATTTAATACCACTGAATGGAGTGGTATTAAAAACAATGGGAAAATGGATGTGTGTTCCTGTATCCACCTATAACAGTACTGTCCAAAAGAAATGTATATGTAATATAAGCCACAGAACTAATTTCACAGTAAAAAAAAAAAAAACAGGTGAAATTAACGCTATATCTTATTTAACTCAATATATCCAAGATGTTATCATTTCAACATATAATCCAAAAAAAAAAAAAACTTGATATTTTAGTACCTTTAATGGCCCATCACCTGTCTGTCAATTTGTAGCACTGTGGTGACTTGCGTGTTGCTGTGATGCTGGAAGCTATGCCACTAGTATTTCAAATACCAGCAGGGTCACCTACGGTAGACAGGTTTCAGTGGAGCTTCCAGACTAAGACAGACTAGGAAGAAACCCCTGGTGATCTACTTCCACAAATTAGCTAGTGAAGACCCTGTGGATCACAACAGCACATTGCCCAACTGACTTGGGCCAGCGAGGGTGTAGGAGACCCTCTGTGAGATGGATTGGCACGGTAGCCCACAGGAGGGACTCGGATATACTGGGGATTGTGAAGATGTTGAAGGACCAGGCAAACGCTTAGTTCTGTTGTATGTAAGGTCACCACGTGTCGGAGTCGACTTGTTGGCAGCTAACAACAACATTTAACAGTACTTTTTTCCTGCTTTTGAGCAAAGGGGCATCACACATTATGTGGTCCGTCCTGGTTACAGGTTTCTGTATTATAAAGTTCCTTGCCGGTTCCCAACCTCTCTCTTCCTACGCCCCAGCTGTGTTCGACCCTCCCAGCCACTTTTCCTGCTAAGCACTCAAACAGACTGAAAACCCCCAGGCAGTGGGCAAAGAGTCTGAGGGGGACCTGGCGCCTGCACACTTCTCAAGGAGTGTTTCCCTCTCGGCCTTGCTAGCTGCTCCTGACTCCTTCTGCCACGCGAAGGATGCCGATAATCGGCTCTGGCCGGAACATCGGGCCCTTTCATCCTCAAATAGGCCAAACACAGGCTTGGAATTCAGCAGCCTCCCTGCCTGCCTCGGAGCTGTAGATAAAAGGAGAGGGGACGGAGGAGGTGCTCCCACACAGAGGAGACTCAGACTAAAAGGAAGGAGCTGAGGCCAGGGTGAGGGAGAAGCTGGCTGGGGAAGAAAGGGGAAGTGTCGAGGCTTTAAATTGTCACCACTCCATTAAGGAGCTGCGGAAATTAGTTGTCTCCTGGGGCGGGGCGGAAAACAACAGCTTACACCTCCGGTGGCAAAGCCTGGCAGCTGGAGGAGGAGGGGAAATCAAAATTACTGAAAGGTAAGAGGATTAGAATTTAAAATGGGCCTGATTTGAGTATTTTTCCTGTAGTTCTCAGTCTCCGTTTCTGTCCCTTGCAGGGAGACAGCCCCTGCTCTGGGAATCTACCTATCTGGAGAAATTGCTGGAAACTTAAGCAGTCTAATCAGGGCCAAGTTTCTCTCCTCATAGAACCTGTGGCCCTAGGAACTTTTTTTTTTTTTTTTTAAAGAAGAAACAAGAACAGTTCCTCTGCTGAGTGAAAAAAGAAAGGCAACAGGGTCATCGTTCATGATTCACAACCTGGTGTCCCAGAAAGGGGAGGGAAATGCCATGAGCTATTTTTAGCATCTGTACACCCTGAATTAAATAATACATTTACCCAAGACAAAGTTACCCAGCCTATTTCTTAACAAATACAATTTGTTTGGTCGGAGCAGGCCAGCAGGTCAGTTACTGTTAGCCAAGCTATAAGGGACCCTACAGTATCACTAAAAATATAACTGCCAGGAAAAAAATATATGCAGGGAGAGTGATGTGTAAGATTTCAAGAAATATTTTGATAGGCCAGGGAAGGCGGCAGGGGCATGAGATCACTCCCAAGGAGCTTGGTCAAGTAATATTAAAAAAAAAATCCATTGCCTTCTAGTTGATTCTGACTCATGGCAACCCCATGTGCTTCACAGTAGAACTACAAGTTTTCTTGGCTGTGATCTTATGGAACCAGATCATCAGGCCTTTCTTTAGCACCACTGAGGGTATTTGAACCACCAACCTTTCAAATAGTAGCCAAGCGCAAACCCTTTGTGCTACCCAGGGTCCTTCACTAAACTGCTTCCTAAGAGTGGCTTCTGATTTCCTGGGGGCTCTTGTTTTGCTAAGTAGAGTGTGTCTGGAATGGAGCAAAATTGCTCAAGAAAATAGGGAGAGACCGAGTCATCCCTCGGGACCTCTTTCTATGCCCTTCCCACATATCACATTCAGCAGCTCTTAAAATCTCTTAAAACCAGTTGAAACCAGTTGCCATTGCATTGACTCGGACTCATGGCCACCCTGCATGTGTCAGAGTAGAAATGTGCTCCATAGAGTTTTCAATGACTTATTTTTTGGAAGTAAATCACCAGGCCTTTCTTCTGAGGCACCTCTGGGTGGACTTGAACAACCAACCTATTGGTTAGCAGCTGAGCGCATTAACCATTTGCACCACCCAGGGACTGCAAGGTCCCTTAAAATATGAGGTCCATGTTGAGGAATAGAGTGTCAGGGGCATCAGTGTAGTGAAAAGTAGGGAGATGAGTTTCAAGGACTGAGGATTTTGAAGCCAGATAGCCTGAGCTCAAACTCCGTGCCCCTCCTCACCTCCACTTACTAACCTGAGTACTTCATTAATCTCTTGAGCTAATGATTTTGATCTAAGTTCTTCACTAATTTCTCTCTATCTCAGTTTCTCATCTGAATAATGTGGATATTTGGATACTTCTTTGACACAATAAAATATCATTAAGGGGAAAACATTAGAGGCCTTCCTGCAGAAGTAGGAAACAAGAAAAGAACGCCTGTTATCTATTACTTTGTAACATTGGTTAGAGGTAGTAGTTATGTGATTAGATAAGACAAAGCAATTGGAGGCATAAGAATTGGAAAAGGAAGAGGAAAAGTTATCTGTATTTGCAGATGGTGTGATTATATTTCTGGAAAACCTAAAAAGGATCAACATAAACATCGTACAACAAACAATAAAATAATTTCATGAAAAGAGCAGGTTATAAAGTAATCTCCTGTCGCAGCGGCGACAGTTGTCAGGGCGGCGGAGACAATAACCAATGCCTATAAATAACAACAAGAAATGGCCCAAATCCTTGTGAGACAAACAATAAAACCCTCCTGAAAGGCACAAAAGTAGTCTTGAATAAATGGAAAGAAACGACGTGTTCTTAGAAAGACAGTAGCATAAAGATGCCAGTTCTCCCTCCGTTCATTTATACATTTAATGCAATGCTAATTTTTAAAATACAATAGGTTATTTTTTTTTCTAGAACTAGATGGATGGATAAATTTTATTTGTAAAAACTAAAAGGCAGAATAGCCAGAAAAGCAAAACTGAAAAATAAAGCTGCGGGAGATGCAGCTTTACCAGACATTACATTATATTACATCAGGGTTAAAAAAGAAATTGTTGGAGAGGGGAAGTGCCTTTTTATTGAAGTATTTAAGCCAACAAACAAAACAACAATGCAACTGTAATAAAATGATGGATCCAGGCAATGATCATCAAATGGCCACTAACATACCCCTCCTGGTGGAGTACACACCACCACCTATGAAGCAGTCTTGCCAACAATAATAATAATAGAAACTGAATGTGATTAAGCCTCTAGATAACACAGCTAATTTACAGGAAATACAAGGGTCAGATGAACATATTAATTGACACCATGGGAGTGACATCAAGATTATGAAAAACTACTGGAAAAGAAGACCCAATTTTTTTCAGCAAATAAATTGCAATGAAAAAAAGAGAGATGAAGGGAGAAACCTATGAACTGAAAGAAACCAAATAGCTTTATCAACCAATGGAAATGTATGGGCTTTATTAGATCACTATTCAAGCAAGCTGTTAGAAAATATTAAACAAAGTAAGATGAACACTGACAATATTTGACAATATTGAGCAATTATTTTTAATTTTTAGGTGTGATAATGACAGTAAGACCATGTATTTTTAAAGCACCCTTATTTTTTAGCAGTACATACTGAAATATCTGAAGAAGAAATAATATATCTGGAATTTGTTTAAAATAATCCGGGGTAGAGTGTAAGTGTGCAGGGATGTAGGTGAAGCAAAATTGTTGTTGTTGTTGGGTGCCATGGAGTCAGTTCTGACTCATAGCTTCCCTATATACAGAGTAGAACTACTCCATAGGCTTTTCTAGGCTATAATCTTTACAGAAGCAGATCACCAGGTCTTTCTCCCTCAGGGCTGCTGGGTGGGTTCGAACCACCAACCTTTTGGTTAGCAGCCAAGTGCTTAACCATTGTACCACCAGGGCTCCTTGAAGCAAAATTAGCCATAACATTTATAATCATTGAAGCTAAAGAATGTGTATATGAGGGCTTTTATACCATTCTGTCTTATAATAAAAAAGAAGAAATAATACTTACCTTATAGTGTTGGTCCATGGTAGTAAATGAAACAACATAT